CAACCCAAAGGACGCATATGGGACTGCACTAGGCTGTCTTCTGCTGCTCCCCAAAGGTTTTCAGTGGCTAATTTTTCAGAAGTGAAATTGCTTCTTCTTTTCCTCCTCTGCTCTTGGTCTTTAAGCTCTGGTGAAACCTGTTCACATGGTGACCCAACTGATATTTGACGTTCTTGGTATAGAGCATAATAGCAGCAGAGAAGTCATTACAATATGACAAACCGACCAAGAGTGGGGTTCATCATATAGAAATCTAGTATTAAAATTTATTGATTAATTTCAAAAGGCAGAATGAATTTGCTTATGTTTCTGGGCATGTGTTCCTAGCAAGCATACAGATAAGAGTTTTGTAGGGATCATAAACCTCCTGTAGAGTCAAATGTCAACCTCACTTCCTTTATAAATCATAATTCTTTACATTCCTAGGGACAATTTGGTATGTATCACTTTAGGGAGAACTTGGTATATTCTAATTTAGAAAGTCTCAAGTACTTTGTTTATATCATAGAGAATTTCAGTTTTTTTCTATTAATTATGAAAAGATATTAATTTTGTGCTGCTTTTTTTATCTTCTTGTCCTTTCATGTTTTCCTGGTTTTAGAAGCCCCTGGAAACTGATGGTCTAAATCAGTGTAGCTCTGGAAATAAAGCTGAGATATAGACTGCACTGAGGGCTTGAGGACCCAGATAGGGCCGTGTCCTCTTCTCTTGCATCTTGCTTTATTAATTCACTTTGGTGCATTGCCATTGTTTATAACTCTCTGTCTATTTTAGAGAGCAACATTTCCTTTTGGGAACTTTTATCACTTGAGGAATGTGGGCACTCAACTGTATGTGGTTCATCAGAGAACATTGAAAATGATTACACATGGCTCATGCTTCTAGGAGACCACTTCATTTTTTTTAATGGAAACATTTGAACTGATGGGCCACAGGGAGACTAGATGTTACTTTGCAGATGGATTTCTTTTCTCGTCCTCTTAGTTAATGGTCCAGACCACAGCAAAATTCTATATTTGTCTTTTCTTTGCAATTTCTTCAGCCCTCTTTGTAAATTGTACTCATATAACTAATGCTTCAAAGTTTACTATCCTTTCAGTAGGTTACAATAAACCCCGTAAATCTATTTTTTTTTTCACAGTCTCTTTTATCAGAAAAGTTGGTGTGTTCATGCTTTGTTCCCTTTGTTCCCACTATTGGGAGAGTGCTGCCTCTGCTTCATTTTCTTTCCCTGATTCTGATCGATCTTAAGATATAGTTCTTCTTTCTCTGAACCTTCCCCATCACCTTAGCCTGGTGTGCTCAATCTCTATTCTCGTTATCTGTACAACTGTGAAGTACACCATTGTGATGGTAATTTGGACAAAACTTTAATTTCAATGTAGTAGTACTTAAATTAATTCAAAAATAGTTGCAGCAGAATACTAACAGGGAGCTGTCAGAGGTCCAGGTCGGATTAAGAAGAGGACTTGGCTCCAGGGACATCATTGCTGGCATCAGATATATTATGACTGAAAGTAGAGATTATCAGAAAAGAAGTTAACTTTGTGTTGTATCAACTATGCAAAGCATTTGACTGTGTGGATGATAACATACTCTGGATAATGTTGAGAAGCATGAGAAATTGAGTGCACTTCAATTTTCTTTTGCCAAACTAGTGCACAGACCCCAAAACAGTCATTCAAACAGAAGGGAACATTAGGCAATTTAAAATCAGAAAAGGTGCACGTCAGTGTTATGTCCTTTCACCATACTTATTCAATCTGTAGGCTGAGCAAATAAGCAGAGAAGCTGGACTATATGAAGAAGAACTTGGTATCAAGATTAGATGAAGGTTTTTTTTAAAAAAAATGATAACCTGCTATCTGCAGATGATATGACCGTGCTTAATGAAATTGAGGAGAACTTGAAGCACTTGCTGATGAAGATCAAAGATTACAGCCTGCAGTATGGATAGTAATTCAATATATGGAAGATACAAATCCTCACAGCTGGACAAATAGATAACATCGTGATGAACATAGAAAATATTGAAGTTGCCATTTTCGTGTGTCCACAATCAGTCCTCATGGAAAGGATAGTCAAAAGAATCAGAGGATGTATTGCATTGGGCATATCTGCTGCACAAGATCTCGTTAAAGTCTTGGAGAATAAGGCTGTCACTTTGAGGAGAAACACACCTGACACAAGCCATGGCATTTTCAATCACTTCATAGATATAGGAAAGCTGGCCAATGAATAAAAATAAGGAAAACTGCAAAATAATTTAAACATTTGAATTATGGTGTTGCCAAAGAATATTTAAGTATCATGGATTTCCAGAGACACAAACAGCTATGTCTGAAAAAGAACAGCCAGAAAGCTCCTTAGAGGTGACTCTAGTGAGACTTTATCTCGTGTACTTTGCACATGATTTCAGAATAGATCAGTCCCCAGATAAAGGATTTCATGTTTGATATAGTAGGAGATCAATGAAAGAGAAGACCCTTAACCAGATGAAATGTTACAGTAACTGCAACAATAGGCGCAAACATAACAGTGATTGTGAGGGTGGTGCAGGACAGAACATAGCAACATAAGATTGCTATGGGTTGGCACCTGACAAGAACAGCAGTAGTGTGGAGGTTTTCCTGACTGGTGGGCCTCTCTGATAATATGTCTAAATCACCGGAGACAATGTTGCACCATACTTATTTCTAAGAATATCTGTCTGTTCTTTTGGCAACCGGTAGTACTTTCAATATGTGTCAGCAGCGCCATAACACAAATGCATCTTCCTCATTCAGTGTCCAACTTTCAATGTAGATGAGGTGAATGAAAATACTGTGGCTTGGGTCAGGCACACCATAGTCCTAAAGTAACATCCTTATTTTCTAGCCCTGCAAAATGACCTTGTGCCGCCGATTTGCCCAATGCAATGTGTCTTTAATCTCTTCACTGCTGCTCCCATGAGCAATGATTGCGGATGCAAGCAAGGTGAAATCCTTGACAACTCCAATCTTTTCTCCATTTATCATGATATTACCTATCCATCGAGTTGCGAGGATTTTGGTTTTCTTATTCTGTTATAATTCATAATGATGGCTGCCATCCTTTATCTTCGTCAAGTCCTCATCACTTTCAGCAAGCAAGATTGGTCATCTGCATATGGAAAGTTCCTCTGATTCTGATGCTGCATGCTTCTTCACAGAATCCAGCTCTTTCGATTATTTGCTCAGCATCCAGATTGAATAAATATGGTGAAAAGATACAACCCTGCCACACACTTTCCTGATTTTGAACTTATGCAGTATTCCCTTGTTCTGGTAGAACAATGGCCTCTTGATCTGGGTTACAGTTTTGGCATGAGCACAGTGAAGTGTTTTGGAATTCCCTTTCTTCTCAATGTTGGTTATGATCCACACAGTCGAAAGCTTTTGTATAACCAATAAAACAAAAATAAATATTGTCTGGCATACTCTGCTTTGAACCAAGACCCGTTTGATGACAGCAATGATATCCTTTGTGCAAATCTTTTTCGGAATCCTGCTTGAGTTTCTGGAAGCTCCCTGTGAATGCACTGCTGCAATTGTCATTGAGTTATCATCAGCAAAATTTTACTTGCATGTGATTGATATTAATGATATTGTTCAATAGTTTCTGAATTCTGTGTGGCCACCTTTCTTTTGAATGGGTACAAATATGGATCTCCTCCAGTGGCTTGGCCAGGTACCTGTCTTCCAAATTTCTTGGCGTGGATTAGTGAGTGGTTCCACTGCTTCATCAGCTTGTTGAAAACATTTCAAAGGTTTTGCATCACTTCCGGGAAGCCAGCTTATCCTTGATGCTTTCAGTCCAGCGTGGACTTCTCTCTTCCAGACTGATGGCAGACTGTCTTTTTCCCTGTGAGCATGGACCTGTATGAGTTAATCATCAACTCCTACTAGGCAGGTCACATTGGAGGGAACTGTATTTTGTGGATAAGCAAAATTATTTTTAAGTCAATTAATGGTTACCTTTAAATTTCTCATAGAACTTAACTCTCTTATTTTGTTATTATCAAAGTCAAGAGGAAAGTAAATGTGGTTAGCGAACACATTCCGGAGGTGGCATTTATTTTGCCTTTGCACTCTCTTCCTTTGCTTGCACACTTCTTGCAAGAGGAGTTGGTGAGCATGATTCACAATTTAAGAGATTATTGTTTTAGCGCAGGAATTTTACATACGGAGAATGGGTTTGGGGTTCTTGCTTTTAATTCTTCAAATCATATTTTCTACAATTATCTCTACCTAAATCTCTATATAGCTGGTATTAGGGTTCAATATTAGTTGATTTTTCATTTGTCTTTTTCCTGAGTTCTTCATTTTGACTTATACTTCTATCAACTAGATACATCTATAAGAAATTTTATTAGAAGATTTGGGATATATGAATGGTTGTCTTGGGTTCTTGACCATTGCTAAGTTACTTTTGTTTTCCAAGGAGAATAATAATTTTATCGCTAATTTTTTTCTGTCACAACATTTTCTCCTTAAAGTGTGTGGACAGCGTTCTCTTTTCTTTGGATATGTTGTATTACTCAAGAGAAATTCAAAGCTTTTTAATAGCTAAATTGTTTTCCCATACTATCTTTCTAGTTAAACAATACTGAGATAAATCAAATATACTCGAAACAAAAAGAGAACTAATTTTTGTTAGAAGATTAGAAGATATTAAATGATAGCAGTTTTCTCCAGAATGATCACTTTGATGAAAATTTTAGTAAAAATTCTGAATAAAATATCATAATATTATTCTAATATAATATATTTAAAATCATGTTATGTAGATCTTTTGGCACATTGTATGTTCATAAAGGGTCATGGTTATTAAAATGCATTATATACTATTATCGTAGTATACTACTAATTATATAATATAATAACTATTAATATTTAACATATATAAAACCCAAGACAATACTTCTAGGAAAAAAGTGGGCAAAACATAGGGATAATACATGCTATAAAAATACTAACCCTATACTTACCTGGCAGGGGAGCTACCATGATCACGAACATGGTTTTCCCAGGTCGAGGCTCACCCATTGCACTCTGGATGTGCTGACCCCTGCGATTTCCCCATATGTGGGAATCTCGACCGCATAATTTGTGGTAGTGGGGGACTGCGTTCATACTCTCACCTGTAAAAAAAAAAACTAACTCATAGTGTTAGAGATGCTAGCATAGATGGTATATTTATAATGAAAAATCAGGCATTGACCAGCATAAAATTCAAACCAGTAATTTCTTTCTGGAGGACTTACTGTAATAACTATCAAACTGTAGTAAGAAGGGATACAGTAATTATGTCTTGGTATGCTGACAATAAGGAACCAAAAAAGAAAACAACAAGGCCACCCCAGAAACAAACCCATGCACATACGGACACTTGATTTACGACAGTAGTTGAAATGCAGAGCAATATGGAAATAACTATCTTTTCACTAAAATTGCTAGCATAATAGGATATCTACCTGGAAAAAAATGAAACTCACTCCCTATCCCCATCATATATAAAAATCAATTTCAATTGTGAAAGGAAAAGCAAGAAGAGTTTTAGAAGATGAATGAAGAATATCTCTGTAATAATGGTAAGAAAAATTTTCTTTAAAAAAAAGTGTTACTGTGAATTAGGTGAAGGTTACAGAAGAGAACATCGGTTGTACATTGAAAATTTAACACATTATATTTCAGCCCATCAATTGCAATCTTGTCAATGTGCCATCCCTTATGTCACTTCTTCCTGTGATTCCTACTTTTCTTCCCTCTTCTTTCCTCACCCTTTGAATCCTTGGGTCACGCTGCCCTTTTCATCCTACATGGTGGATGCTCTAACTCAGGGTGAGTTTAATTCCAGACCTTAAGGATGATGACTGACCAAGGCCCATGATCTTGGTGGACCCACCAGTTTCTGATCAGTGAGCTTGGTATCTTTCATGATTCTGAGTTCTGTCCCACAGTTCTCTCTCATTCTTGGGGCAGAAAATAAGAGAAAGGCATCCAAGGAGATGGACTGAGGGAGCGGTTGCAACAATAGGCTCAAACACAAGAATTGTGAGGACAACGCAGCACTGAGCACTACTTCCTTCTGTTGTACATCAGGCCCCTATGATGGCAACTGATTTGATGGTACCTAACAACATTCACATCGAGAACGTTCTAATGCAATCCTTTCTGGAGCAGTTATTATGGGTAGACGGGGACTATCTACTTTTTCAGATCTCAGGGTTATGGACACTGCTGGGTGTGGTCCACAAATCCACGGAATTGTTTCCACTTGCCTTCCATTTTCAACACTCTTCTTTGCTCTGGACAGGGCGAGAGCAATGGCTGAGCTGTAGATGGCTGCTCCCAGGCTGTGCATGCCCTCGTTGCTCCTTAGGATGCCTTTGAGAACTGTGATGTGACAATTGATCGCGTTATTTCTAGAGACCATGATTCTGCTCTTGGAGGCTCAGTGATTTACTCTCTTAAGGTATTTGGTTAAGAAATTTGGTCTGAGAAGTTTTCATAATTTCGCAGTCAATGCTTCATCACATTCATGGACATATTTACAACAAAGAAAAATACATCTATATGCATATCCTCTATTAAACACCCACACATACCCACATAAATATCAAACACTTAAGTGTGTGTGTGTGTGTGTGTGAGTGTGTATGTATGTTCATGGGTTTATTCCCACTCTCCCTCCCACTCCTATTTAGCCTGCATGTCTCTCTTAACATAACCTCAAAGATTGCCACTACTGCATGGTTATGGATATATAAAAGTATCTGTCTCAGTTCAACTCTTACAAATATCTTTCAAGCAAAGCATGTAAAGCTATCTATAAGGGAGAAGATTGGTAAAGGAAAAGATTGATATATTTGACCATAATAATATTGAGAATTTTAATTTGTCAAATCTCATCCCTGAGAGAGCAAAAAATTCAAACCACAGGGTAGAAGAATATGTTGGCCAAGTAGTAACTGTCAAAGGAGTCTTAACTATAGGTCCTATAAATTAATGAGGAAAGCACGAATAAAGCAGTGATTTTTTTTAAATAAATGAAAGCATGAACCATCATTTTGCAGAGGAATATCCAAATAACCAATAAAAATGTCCTCACCTCAGTAGAAATCAGGGAGAAGCAAATTTAAATCATAATATGGTGTCCTAACTAGAAAGACTAGAGTGATGAACAATGACAATAGTAAATATAGACAAAGACGTGAGTCAGCAGGCATTTTGATAAATGGTGCTGATTGCTAACCTCAAAGCCCGAGGTTCAAACCCACCAGCGGCTCTACAGGAGAAAGAGGAGGTTATCTGCTCCAAGAAAGATGTATAGCTTAGAAACCCTTTGTAGGGTCACTGAGAGTCTGAATTGATTCAGTGGCAGTAGATTTTGGACCTGTGGTTAATGTAAATATTTTTTCTAAGACTATCTGCCTTCTGGCTTTTACATTTCCAAATTTCAACTGTGTAAACTGGAATATCATTTTCTGGCCTTCCCTGACTTAATCTGTTTTCTTTTCAAAACTGCATTAGACAGATGATATCAGAAATAATTAAAGCTAAATAACATTAACAGAATGTGCAGAGGATAGATTTATAGCTTTAAAATGAACATTAAGAAAAATGTAAACATGGAAGAAGATAGCTATTAGCTACAGATTGAATTGTAGTCCTTAAATATTTATTGAAGTCAAAATTCCTGTAGGATGTCAACACATAATTGGAAAAAAAGCCTTTTTCTTTGTTATGTTCCTGAGGTCATACATACATAATAAGAATTCTAAACACAACCACGTCTGAAGTATGAAAAGAACAGGAGATACGAAGACACACATGGAGAAGACCATATGGAGACATACAAAGTAGCTGCATCTACAAACCCTGGAATGCAGGCTTCCAGCCTCCTGACTTGTGAGAACAGAACTTGACGTTCTTGAAAGCTTGCTCCAGTTATTTTTGTTAGAACATTAGGTTACTAAGACAATGCTTTATATTTGCTTTATTTGAGGCTAACGGGTAAAAACATTTTGACTTAATTTTCCGCCCCCATCTGTTTGTAGAAATTGTTTCACATGTTTATAAAGGCTTGTTTTGTAGACCAGGTTTTTTTAATTTACAGAAAACTTGCAAAGATGTTGTGGATCATTTCCACAGACTTCTTATCAGTTTCTCTGTTAATACTACCTTACATTGTGTGCCTGGTGGTATAACGGGTTATGTATTTGGCTATTAGTTTCAAGGTCAGCAGTTTGAAACCACCAGCTGCTCTTTGGGAAAGGATGAAACTTTCAAGTCCTGTCAAGATTTACAGTCTCAAAATCCCAGAGAGGCAGTTGTACCCAGTCCAATTTGTCGATGGCAGTGAGTTTTTACAAAGTGTAGTGCTTTTGTTATGGTTAATTTACCAATACTGCTGTTATTAGGAATCACTGAGCCAATTCCCACTCGTAGAGCTACTGTGCACAGCAGATTCTGCTATTTCTCACAGTGGCTGCTTATGTTTGAGTTGGTTCTTGCCATCACTGTATCACTCTCTCCTAGAGTCTTCCTCTTTTTCACAGACCCTCTCTCTACTTTACCAAGCTTGATAGCATTCTCCAGAAACTTGATTGCTTTTAATAATATGCACAAAGCCCATGCTATGAGTCACTCTATTCTCGCCTCTAAGGAACATTCTGGCTCGAGGTCATACAAGACTGATCTATTCATTCCTCTGACAGTCCGTGGTGTGTTCAGCATTCTTCACCAGCACTTAATTCAAACTCCTCAACTCTTCAGTCTTCCTTGTTCGTCGCCCAGCTTTCACATGCATCGGAGGCGACTGGAAATGCCTTTTCTTTGCTGAGCCAAGCCAGAGTCCCCACAGGGCCTGCTGCCCCTGGAGATGTAGACTAGGCACCCAAGTAAACCGAAATCTTGACTTCAATCTTTTCTCTCTTTATCATAAAATTGGTTGTTGGTCTGGTTGTGAGAATTTTTGTTTTCTTTATGTCAAGATGTAATTCAAACTGAGGTTTGTAGTCTTTGATCTTTATCAGTCCCTGTCTCAGGTCTTCTCTTGCAGCATGTGTGGTTTTGCCATCTGCACAGCACAGGTTCTTAATGAGTCTTCCTCCGATACCAATGCTCCATTTGTCTTCATAGTCCAGTTCCCCGTATCAATTGCTTAATGTACAGACCAAGTAAACATGGTGGAAGGCTATAATCCTGTTGTATAACTTTTCTCATTTTAAACCCTCTTGTCTATTAAACTTGCCTTGATCTGTATACATGTTCCACGTGAACAGAATTAAATGTTCTGAAATTCCCATTTTTCATAATATTATCTATAATTTTTATAATATACAGTTTCATGTCTTTGCATAGTTAATAAAATACAGGATAACATTTTTTTTCTGGTGTGTGTTCTGTTTTCAACTCACATCCATCTGAGATCAGCAATGATATCTCTCATTTTGTTAGGTAGCTAGATTTAGGGACGGGGATTGTCCCATCCAAGCTTTCAAAGGGCCCCCACAAAGGATGTTGGAAAGACGTCAGGTAGCCATTGGACAGCTATGAAGACCCCAAATTGAGCATGCTCATACTCAAGCCCCCAAGCCAGGTGGGATGTACACTTGGGTGCCCAATCTAAGCCTAGGCTCATGACATCACCCATTTGGGCTTAACACAGCCAACGGTGTCAACCAATACCATTGACTACACATCTCCAGCTGGGCTTGAAATATCCAGGCTGTGGGAAGGCCGCTCTCTCTCACCCTGCTCCTATTTGAGGCCCACAGCCTCTTTGCCCACATGCTCTTAGCCTCTAGGGTTCTTGGACTTCTGGCCTCCTGGAATCCCCACTCCCACTTCCACACATGTGGATGCTCTTTTCCACCTGGTTCTTCTGGTCCACTGGTGACCCCTTAGAGACTGGAAAACTTGAAACTTGTCTTGCCTTCATAAAAACCCACTTGGATTACAAAATTGGCTTCAGCATGAATTTTTCTCAGTGTGCGAAGCAAAGAACCGAGGTATTACCCACTCCAGAAACCTAATAGTTTCATGTTCTCTTTGGAATCTGGTTTGAATTTCTGGCAGCTCCTTGTTGATGTACTGCTGCAACTCTTTTAAATTATCTTAAGAAATAATTTTATTTTGA